GGAGATTGCCTTTGATTGAACTGTCTATAAACTATGATTCCGCTGAATGTATTTCTGACGTACTCGCCTCTTGTTGGCTTACTTGCTCACCGTTTTCATCTCTCCTTTTCTCTCTGTCTCTCTCCCACATACTTCAGAAACCAGTCAGAAGGAGGCTGAAGAACTAGCGAAGATCAAGGCGTCAGCTGAATTCAAAGATGCCAAGGCCAAAGTTCTCACTGTCCTGTCAGCTAAGATCGACAACTACGTTCTCGACAGTCTACGCAAGAAGAAAGTTCCAACTGGACAAGACTTTTAGAAGCGAATCGCCTTATGTCTGCCTACTCTGAAAATTGTGTTGAGTGTACTTACTGTCTTTTATAGAGCTTGTCAATCAACTGGTGAGTAGGAAGAAGATTTGTGTAGGCGTTTGCTTTTATGTGTGATGTACAACTTGTGGGAAACTTCCACTAACCACTTTTGTTCACACAACTCTTTCTCTATGTAAAAATACATGTATAGATTGTTGAGTGTTGTTTTCGTTGTCTTCTTCTGATTGGTTTTGACTGCGCTGTGGAGACCGTCGGAATGTGTGATGAGTTGTGCATTTAGACGAGTGGAAGTATAGGCGATTGTTCAAGGTGTTGATACATACCAATTTGTTTGGTTTGGTGAAGAAGATGGTCTTCACCACAGGAGGAATAGCAAGTGTAGACCATAGAATATTCACAATTTATATCGAGCCCTCTCCTTAACCACTGACATCCGAAAATATACGTACATAGGATTACTGACATTATCACACGGATTCTCCATTCTTTTCAGGAGAACCTTTCCATGATGATCATATTTCAGGGAATCCACAGTTCGTGACATGTGACAGACAGCCAATTCAGTTACAGATAAATTCAGAGGAGAGCAGTAGTCATTTATCACGAGTTTCTAAGGATATTCGAGGAGTTTCGGCAATTGTCTTAACAGTGGCATAGTCACACAAATTGGCCAGCCACATATGGTGAAATATGATTACGCATTTATACATGCAATATGCACTTAGAGGTGATATGAAGTCGATTAAATGTGTTAAGAGCGGTGGGTCCAAAATGAAGTGATCTCCGTATTATTGAATAGAGTAATAAAATAATGGTCAGTCCACATGGTCAGTCGTCGGAAGGAACAGCATGTGAATTATATGAAACTGGGATAATGCTCGCCACAGTAGTCTCAGATTAACTACTGACTACTTCTGCTAATTTTGAGTTGCGTGATAGGAAGATGATGGATTTCTTCAATGTTGATGTTGGTAAATACAGTTTGAATATGCATTCTGCTTGTCCATTCGATTCGATGTGGACCAGTGATTCTGGTGAGGGAGTGTGTTGGTTTGACTTTCAGGCTTTCGGAGTATGTTCGTAGAAACGAATGGTTGATAGGATGTCCTGAAATACAGGTTTCATGCTCTCAATGGAGGATCCCGATATTCATGCAACTTTTACTCGTGATGGGAATTGTGCATGTGAACAGTCGGCACTGAGTGCATTTCCGCATTTACATCTCGAAATGAATGTTCTTTCATTCTGTGTGGTCTGTATTGATTCGTTTTTTCAAGTCGGTGCTGTGTTGTTTTAAGAGGTTGCTTATTAAATTACTCTATTTATAATTAAATCCACGTTTATTGATATACATGTGGAGATGTCAATTTTTAATTGTGGATATATGTCTGATTAATACGATTTTTACCTATCTAATCGGTTTCTTGGAATTATTTAAATTCAAACAGGCCATGTTAAAATATCTATTGTAATTCAATTCTTGTTAGTTGAAGTTTCACAATGAGCACAATCACAATATCATAGTATTAGGATCACATATGTAGTAGGCTTCATTTCAATGGTGACATTGGAAGTTTGTCAAGATTTCTACATTGTATGAACTGACTCGTGACTGATTGCAGAGTTTGAAACCACCTATATGAGCTCCTCCACTTAATTCCTCAGAAATCTACTAGAAATATATATTTTCATCAATCCACTTCATGATCCTGCTTTGAATCTCAGGAGATCGTAATCATTAGCTCAGTCACTCCGTCTTCACTGATGCAGTTACTCTGTCTTTTCTATCATACAGTGCAGTCCATCATCATGAATCAGTTTCTACTTGATTTCGATGACTGCTCACAGACTACTATGTGACTATAATGTGACAGGTACTAGAAATTCGGGAATACAATATCATGGGAATTAACCTCGGATAAAACACTCAGAATGATGAAATCAGGCTTCATGCACATAGTTAATATTAAGCGACCTGACAGATTTTATAGTATGTTCAGATTCAATAAGATGGGAAGATAAGATAACTGGAACGTCATCGATAAAACGAAATGAATAAAATGTTGGAACGTTCTACTGTAAACTGAATTGGGGAAACATTCCGCATCTACCTAGCTCCACAAGAGCATGTGAACACATAAATGCGCATTGTTATTCGAGAATCAGTGATTACTCAGGTATTCTCTAATCAGTCAATCTAAAACTGGATTATTGAGGGTTGTGTGAGATGAACCCTTCTCTCTGAGACCAGATGCTAGACATTTTACGTCATCACATCTTTACCACACTTGTTGTTTCATTCACAAATCGTTGTACTGACACATATTGTAATTACTGACTAAATGGGACATATCTGACGATATTAACTGTTGAAAAAATATGTCAGTCATCCGAAATACGCGGAATTGACTTATTGTGATAGGTATTCCTGCATGTAAAAATGCATGTGTGCTGGTGTGAATATATCAGAGAGTGGTAAATATTATTCTCGTATTTACCTTCTGATATTGTAATATCATGCCAGTGAGGAGGACGAAGGACTAGCAAACGTTGATGTATCACTCTATCTTTATAGATTTCCTTCAAAAAATCCACAAGGGTAATCTCCACTTAAAATTCGGAATAAATATACCTAACGGTTAAGTTACTCGTAAAATCCAGAATGACAATAATAATTATAATGATAATAATAATAGTGATAGTGTAGTCGTATTAAAGACCTAGAACTGTATGATGTCTTGGCCAACTGGTACGAAAAGCATAGTATCCCTCCCTCAGAAGGACAACAGATGGCTGTGTCGAAAACGACCCACAGTTACAAATCAACAACACGCTAATGTTCAGAGTAGCAAGAAAGAGGTTCAAATAAGCATAGCGCCCGAGAGAGATTGGAACATCGGGGGAATGTATACGGGAAGAAAAGGCTAATGACATGATGAAATTCACAGCCATTCCTTCTAATCGACCCAACTATCGATGGACCGACTCAACGAGAGAGAAGGTAGTCGGTCTTGCGGGCTTCGAATCTGGTTCAGCATCATTTTGCAGGCAGCATCTAGCCTTCTAGCTCCGAACTTTTCAGTGAATACCGCCTTATGTTTACTCCCTAGAACACTGAAAATGTTATTCACATATCTATTGACAGGCGTTTTTAAGAAGACGCACCAACTTTCGAATAAATCAAATTTACAAAGGGACAGTTTAGTGATCCCATCAACACATAAAACATTCTTGTTGTGAATGTTCGTAAGATAATATGACTTTGAATTATATGACATAGATTTAATGCAACAAGTATTCCACCTACTTGTTTTAAAATACCTCCAGAAGCACGTCTATCAGTGTGATATGTAGCGGACACTGCTGGGTGTTCAGAAGAGAACTTCAACTAACAAGAATTGAATTACAATAGATATTTTAACATGGCCTGTTTGAATTTAAATAATTCCAAGAAACCGATTAGATAGGTAAAAATCGTATTAATCAGACATATATCCACAATTAAAAATTGACATCTCCACATGTATATCAATAAACGTGGATTTAATTATAAATAGAGTAATTTAATAAGCAACCTCTTAAAACAACACAGCACCGACTTGAAAAAACGAATCAATACAGACCACACAGAATGAAAGAACATTCATTTCGAGATGTAAATGCGGAAATGCACTCAGTGCCGACTGTTCACATGCACAATTCCCATCACGAGTAAAAGTTGCATGAATATCGGGATCCTCCATTGAGAGCATGAAACCTGTATTTCAGGACATCCTATCAACCATTCGTTTCTACGAACATACTCCGAAAGCCTGAAAGTCAAACCAACACACTCCCTCACCAGAATCACTGGTCCACATCGAATCGAATGGACAAGCAGAATGCATATTCAAACTGTATTTACCAACATCAACATTGAAGAAATCCATCATCTTCCTATCACGCAACTCAAAATTAGCAGAAGTAGTCAGTAGTTAATCTGAGACTACTGTGGCGAGCATTATCCCAGTTTCATATAATTCACATGCTGTTCCTTCCGACGACTGACCATGTGGACTGACCATTATTTTATTACTCTATTCAATAATACGGAGATCACTTCATTTTGGACCCACCGCTCTTAACACATTTAATCGACTTCATATCACCTCTAAGTGCATATTGCATGTATAAATGCGTAATCATATTTCACCATATGTGGCTGGCCAATTTGTGTGACTATGCCACTGTTAAGACAATTGCCGAAACTCCTCGAATATCCTTAGAAACTCGTGATAAATGACTACTGCTCTCCTCTGAATTTATCTGTAACTGAATTGGCTGTCTGTCACATGTCACGAACTGTGGATTCCCTGAAATATGATCATCATGGAAAGGTTCTCCTGAAAAGAATGGAGAATCCGTGTGATAATGTCAGTAATCCTATGTACGTATATTTTCGGATGTCAGTGGTTAAGGAGAGGGCTCGATATAAATTGTGAATATTCTATGGTCTACACTTGCTATTCCTCCTGTGGTGAAGACCATCTTCACCAAACCAAACAAATTGGTATGTATCAACACCTTGAACAATCGCTTATACTTCCACTCGTCTAAATGCACAACTCATCACACATTCCGACGGTCTCCACAGCGCAGTCAAAACCAATCAGAAGAAGACAACGAAAACAACACTCAACAATCTATACATGTATTTTTACATAGAGAAAGAGTTGTGTGAACAAAAGTGGTTAGTGGAAGTTTCCCACAAGTTGTACATCACACATAAAAGCAAACGCCTACACAAATCTTCTTCCTACTCACCAGTTGATTGACAAGCTCTATAAAAGACAGTAAGTACACTCAACACAATTTTCAGAGTAGGCAGACATAAGGCGATTCGCTTCTAAAAGTCTTGTCCAGTTGGAACTTTCTTCTTGCGTAGACTGTCGAGAACGTAGTTGTCGATCTTAGCTGACAGGACAGTGAGAACTTTGGCCTTGGCATCTTTGAATTCAGCTGACGCCTTGATCTTCGCTAGTTCTTCAGCCTCCTTCTGACTGGTTTCTGAAGTATGTGGGAGAGAGACAGAGAGAAAAGGAGAGATGAAAACGGTGAGCAAGTAAGCCAACAAGAGGCGAGTACGTCAGAAATACATTCAGCGGAATCATAGTTTATAGACAGTTCAATCAAAGGCAATCTCCCAATCACAAACATCGACAGATTTCGACACCATCAGATCGGCGATGCACATTTCCACGTCTGTCACAATCGACAAAGACGAGTACGGATGCTCACACAACAAGCAGTGTGACCGTCAACCACATGGCATGACGCACAAATCACCCTGCTGATCTTCTCATAGCACTGACAAAAAACCAACCAACCATACAACCAACCAGTCAACTGAGTTGACGGAGACGGAATATTCGAACACCTGAATATTCGCGTATGCAAGGAGGCATTGACACCGGCGGTGATCACAAGTGTGCATGTAATCACACAGACTAATGACATTCTCACTTCACGAGACTGAGAATGTCATCATGATGGATTCCACGTGGAGACGTGTGATAGTCAACCTCATTCATTCACTCACTCACACACACACACACACTCATTGGCTCACGCACACTCACACTTATTTATGTGAATCGGTATGATGTATGTGCATGTAATCTGTGGAGTATTCGCCTAACAATGAAGACGAATGTGATATGAGACTGAGTGAAATCATGCACCGGTGATAAGCAGAGTTTGTGTCAACTTACGTGGTGTGCTGTCGGAAACAGCCAGATTGATGATGACGAAGAAGCAGACGAGGAGGACTGCAGTCTGAAATGAGAAAACAATATGAGAAAACAAAAGACAATTGAAATAATAATCAGACGAGAATGAAGGAAATCAATGAGTCCTGTGTGTCTGAATGACAATGATCGACTGTTGTATTACTCGATGATTGTGGGATGGTGCATTTAGCACAATGGAATGGTCACAGTCGTGTGAATCTCACTAACTGACTAACTAACTAACTAACTGACTGACCAACTAACTAACTAACTCACTGCTTCGTAGTAGCAGTAAGATATATTACGCAGTCAGACTGCTTACGATTCCACCTATTCAGATGAAGGTGTTCACAAGTTCACCATAAGTTGAAGACTATCTGACTTCTCACGAGTCGCGATCATCTCTCAACACTGAACTGCAATTCACTCATTATCAACTCACATTCATTGTCTTGTTGAATAGGAAATAAGTCTTGCGTACAAGCGCTTCGTACTATTCTCGCCCTTTATATACTCTTGTATTTGCTCTTCGTCTGGAAATGTCCCTTCTATCTGTGTTATTGTTTTTGAAGTTCCTTAATCCATAATTGTTTATTTATTTTGTTGTTGTTGTGTTGTTTGTTTTCTTTGAAAATTTGTCTAGAACTTCTACGGCAGGTTTATACTAACTTTACCTTTGTCTTTCATTTAATTGCGTATTGACCGTAACCGATTTTGTTTGTGTCCGTAGTTTTTTATGCTTTTTTGTGTCTTTGGTTTGTATGGAAACTCTTTTTGGATTGTTGTCGCGTTATTAGGATAATAGTGTCAACATTCATTCGATTGTTAATGTTTTATATTTTATGCCTAATTTTTTCGATTTCACAATTTATGTCTTCCGTCGTTTTGTTTATCTGTATATTCTGATATCTTCAGGTGTATGCCACACCAATGTAGCCAACAGTCTCATTTATTCCTGACAGTATGAAACAAAATTAGTTCTTGCATTAGTCGGTTTTCCTAACGCATATAACCGTAAATTCTCGGATAATAAATAATTCACTTATTTCTTTGATGAGAGAATTTCACATTATCTAGAAATAAAAGTAAATGAAAGTGGCCATGTATAAAGTCTTCATTGAAAATTCCAGTATATTATTCATCGGATACCAATCGCTGAAAAATGTAATGTCAATGTTACCTATATCAATATCTCAGTAAATGAAAATTCAGCTTAGGAGAACGAAAAAGTTCATGATATCAGTATTTATTCCTACCCTAAGAAATGATTGTAAAGCAAAAGCGGAATAATCTTCTACTCGAAAAGATGAGGGCAACATTTCTCGAGAGTATTGGCCATCTAGCATAAGATGTAGACTACCAAAATTAGAGTAGTACAACTGAGACGTGAATACGTTTCCTCATTGGTGATGGAGCATATATATACAGTACAGTGAGAAACTTTCGTCATTCTCAATACCGACATTCCGTAAACCCAGAGCCGCCTTGTGTGTTCTAACAGTCTGATAACAAAATATGAATCCATATGAAACATTAGCCTATTCGTGACGAAAATAAACACTGAACGCCAATTAATTTCGAAGTCTCAATGAGGACAATCATACTCTTGCATGATGTATTGCACTTGTATTAAGTTAACACGACTAGTAGTAGGTTTGATACCTCATAATATAGTCGGCTGTTCAGTGGTCTTCTGAAGATTCCTGATCAAATTCGAAATTCTGTGGATCAACATTGCACCACACGCTCCTACATGCCTCAAAATCTTTTCTGATTGCTGCAAATCAGCAACCAATCATGACAAAGTTTGGCAGCAGTTGCAATTATATCACTCATATGATCTCACTTCATAATAAAGCTTGTGCTGAAGATGTCATCTAGTGTGTACGAGTTAGGCGTAAGAGATTAGAGTAGACTGTAATCCCTATCCCACTGCACAGTGTCATAATGGATGAAAGTTCTAAAAGTGAAAACAACTCAGTTCAGAGATTGGCTGATTACTGTAGGCTGACCAATGAATTTGCGGAAAATTAAAGTACACAGAATCATGTTCAGTGCAATGTAGATTATTTGAGAGACTGAGGTACCGAGAAATGGATGCAGAGGAAGGCATTGAACAATCTATGCAAAATAGATTTCGAAAGGTGTGTGATTATGCAGACAGGATTATCAGGAACACGTTTCGGTCGAAAAGTTATCCAGCGAATAATACTGGATCACTCTGTGCTACATCAAGTAAGCTGTCTGACGTGAATATTTATACACTCTTTTTGACATGCTGGTTCAGACTGAGTCTAGTGTATAGGGATGTATGAATGTGCTTCGCTTGTGTTGTTCATGGTAAACACTGTCAACAGTGTGTATTGCTGTTTCAACACTGAATGTTTAGTGACAGGATTTGTTTCAGCCCATTGAGTTTGATAATGGTAGAGTGTTTCTTCAAGTTTTTCTGATATAAAAAAAACAAGTGTATAACAAACAAACAGTTCTCATGAAGAAAAATTCCTTCCAACAATAGAGTGCTTTATCAATATTATCTATTGTAAGCCAATACGAATATCGGAATCACTGAATAACGAAGTGGAATTTTATCGAAATCAGGGAATGGAGATGAACCCATGTTGTATTTTTTAGAACTAATGTTTTCAGTCAAGTCTCATAAACCACCAATATCCAGCTCTTCCTACGCTGGGCCTCACGCTGTTCCTCGATGTTTTTCAGAAACGCTTAGTATTAACCGACGGAAAAACCGAAACACTGCTTGGCGGCTCAAGAATCCTCTATTCTATCGCCAACATATAACCAGCAATACTGGTATTACAGAGTAAGGTCTAAGAACAAATATTACAACAATAAATCATGATATTTCTTCTGAAAGTTGTTTAATCTTCCTTCTGAACAGCGACCGATGAGACGATGACTGGTGGATTGATGACTCCGCGAAAAATATGGGGAAGTTGGGTTTGAGCAAACAACCATGAATTGGTCGTTCAATCTTCAGCTACATTGACAACTGTGCACACAAATACTATGATCAACCGATTTGAAACTGCACAGAGTAAACATGATGCGGTCCACAGATATGAATTCACTGAAATTTGTGCCGATTTTTTAAATTTTTGTTTGACTGAATTTATCTGACCTTCTCCCTTATATTAGTGTTCGGAAAAGTTTATGAAGTTAACCCTGTGACGAATAATACAAGCTAACGTGTCGTGTATTTTGTTTGTATACAATAGTTTCAATTGCATTCGCCACAGAACGAAACCTTATTTTTCTTTCAGAAATATAGAATTTTCTTTTGTGAGTGGACGAATGAGCGCATCAACGATAAATGATTCTACTATGTTATAGATTTGCTACATATAAACCAACCAGCACTACTACCACTTAGTCTGAGAGATTTTCATCTATTTGACTGAGTATAACCTGAAATATTTGCATGAGATAAGTGCGTCGGTGGCACAGTGGTTAGGACTCTCGCCGACCATGCACATGGTCCGAGGTTCGATCCTCTGCCGACACACACCTGATATCTATGGTCGGCCTGCAAAATTTGGGCCACCGATATCTATGCTGAAAATTCCATACTTGTACAAAAAATACAGGGTGGAATCAAGCTGTATTCAAAAAAATATATTCAAATAATAATCCCCACTGAGACATAGAAAAAACAATTGAGTGAGGAATTATCTCCTTTCGATGATTTGGGTTCTCCATTTGGTCCTTTTCTAACAGACGTCTTTTTGAATAGTGTGGATAGCAGTACTCTTGCACCTGCTATTCACTTTTACAAAAGATGCGTGGATGAAAAGTTCACTATATGTGATTAGGACTGAGATTTGGATGACATCCTAAAAGTATTCAATGACAGTCATCCTTTAGAAAAAGAAACTGATGGAAAATTATGTTTCCTTGATGTGCTACTCACAAGGACAGCTTATCGGTGGTTGTGAAGATCTGTTTACAGTAAATCGACGTGGACTCGGCAAATGACCAATTTTTACAGTTTCATCCCCATAAACAGAAAAAAGAAATGAATCCGTTCTCTCTCAACACGAGCCTAGAGAATCTCTATTGAAGACAGTGTCAATGATGGTCTCAGACAGTTTAAAGCAACCTTCATAGAGAATGAGTGTCCACTACGCTTCGTCAAGGCCAGTAGCAAATTGTGTGAAATAATTACGGATAGGGACAAGGTAGCCAGGAAACGTGTTGCATCTAACCTTAGAACTTAGAGATGACAGTGTGAATAAATTACTTAGAAATCGGCTGACAGATTCACCGGAAAAACGTTCTCTACTGACACTCTACGGACAACCCACTGTGTCCATCCACCGGCGCACCTTAGTGTCAATAGAATGTTACCTCGAATGTTCAGTTTCATGTATATTTATAAATTCACCTGCTCTTGAACAGCTAGGTTCAAAGGATGTTCATCGAGAAACATATTGCATCGCGTTCGAGAGCATTTCCCAGCTTGGTGGCGCAAAGGAGAGCGTAAAGCTATTAATTCATTGATATTGCAACATAAAATAGATACTGACCACGCATCATATGATACATAGTTTAATATAGTCTACAAAGTAGGACAAAGTTAGCCGAAACGGATACGAATGCATTTGTGTTGTGTACAGTAACACTTTGTATGATCGCTTTCATTATCATGGTCTTGAATTTCCCATGTGATTTACAAAAACTTCGTTATCCTTCTTTACTCCATGCTCCATTTTTGTTTTAATCTATCTCACTTTCGGTTATCACATTCTAACATTTTACTCAGTCCACTATCCTGATAACACTTTTCTTACGCTTCCACCACCTGATATTCAGATACTCATATTTCTGAATGTACTTCATTTCCATGTGATCAATTTCACACATTTCTGCTGTGATGGATTTTGACCTTTATTTATTTATTCATTCATCTGTCTAATCACTTTGCGACTCATAATAATATGCACCAATATTATCACTCTTAGTATTTCCACTAACAGTCAAACGCTGACACAAACAAGTACACACAAACACACATTCAAAGAAACTGATTGTTATCAAATATCGCTAAACATATATGTATACGATTAAAATGTCATGAAAATGAAATCGTCGAAAAAAATATCTTCGATGCTGAAATCCATCTTTTATGAAATATTTATCGAAACGCTCTCAATAACGCGATTTGATGACGAACGATACTTGGACGATTTACTAGAAGAGAAACACATGCGTTCTTCACAAAAAGCGGAAATGCGTCAGAAATCTAGTCACACCAAATCTAATTGACAGACATGATCTCAAATCAAAATCTTAGTTATACTAGATCAGTCACAGAAACCAGAAAAGAACACAAGACAAATTTAACCAGTTTATTAGAAAAAAGTAATTACATCCACCCGTATTCAGGCGCAAATAAAGAATTCAATTAAAACGTTTCCCTTGAAAAACAACCTATTCTTGTGACAAAATCACATTAG